GTGTGTGTGTGTGTGTGTGTGTGTGCACGCGCGCGTGTGTGTGTTTGGGGGCAGGATTTAGCCATAACATATTTTATGATTAATTGCACTGTATGAAAAAAAAAACAAAATGAAAGCCTAATTTTAAGATCTACAGGTTGTCTCTTTTGACAACTTTGACAGTCTTTCCATTTCTAAACCCAAGCTCTCAAGGCTGCCTGCAGAACAGAATGAGGCATTTCCCAGACGGTATAATTTCAGTCTGGAATCCCTGCTGTGGCTTCCTATGGGAGGTGTAAGCCATGGTGTAGATCCTTGATTTTTCTCCTGGTCCCCTCCACCCTTACAACCGTTATTCCTCTCCCTTTCTCTTTAACCTGGCATATACGAATGACTTTTTTTGGCAGTCCAATTTCTAGTAGACTGAGTTGGGGGGGCGGGAACTCCCCCCGAAACATTCTAGAAAATGAAGCCAATGTCTCTTTCTTGCTTGTGTCTCCTCCTCTAGATAACTCAGTTAAAAATAGACAACAACCCTTTTGCAAAAGGTTTCCGGGACACTGGAAATGGCAGGAGAGAAAAAAGGTGAGTGGAGACCCTTAACCAGTATCTTCTCAGGTAATTTGGAGAATTATTTGCCTTGGGCCCAAGACTCAACTGTTAGAAGCGGGATGCAGGCACTTATGTTAAGAAGGTGTGTGTGTGGGGGGGCGGGGGGTGGAAAAGAATTGACCGCCTCTCTGCTACCTGCTTGCAAGGACATGAACTAGGCCACACCATAGCGGTCTCTGGAAGAAAAGTGTCAGGGATAACAGATCATATACAGTAGCCTATTCATTCCTAATGAACTTCATCCCAGCCAGGTCCCAGGAAAGGACTAAACCATTCACAAAATGCTTTGGAATTTTTGCAATCTTGTCTTGCACATACGGTCCGACAGAACTGAGGCCCCTTGAGAAATCTAGGATGCTCTCCTTCATGGGTATACATATCATTTTGCATTAAGCAGACAGCTGGATAGTATATGGAAGCGGCTCTCCCCTCCCCCACCCGCTTTCAAAGAATTTCCAAAATCCAGAAGATCAGCCCAGATTTTTAACCTCTCCCCTTGCGGGGTGGGATGGGGGGGGGGGGGCGGTGAGCGTTAAAAAATAATTTCCAACATCCACATAGAATTTTATTTTGCCCCTCCGGTTACGATGGGTATGTCGGTAACACAATTAAAGTGCACCATGAAATAAGCAAGTTGGCAACCGCGGTCTTAGCAACCAGTGGGGAGTTTGGAGGCTGTGTGTGTTCACCAGCTGGGGCACCCAGTTCACCCTCCTTCTGTAAGGCCGGCCGTTCAGCTGTCTGTGGCCCGTGCTCTTGCCCTAATGAACTGCTGATCTTGAGTGGAGCTGAAGCCTTCTTCCTCCAACAGCCCCCTCCCCTCCGTGCCACACTCAGGCCTCCTTACAGGCTCCAGAACAATGCTCTGGTCCCTGGCTGCCTCGGGGCAAGCAGGTTTCAGAGAAACCGTGGGTGGTGGGCAGGGTGAGGTGTGCCCAGTGCGCCTCTTTGGAGAGGGTGAGGCGGACAAAGAGGGGAAATGTCTGTTCCGCTCTGTGACGCTGGGTGTGGGCTTCTGGCACAGAAAACAGCTCACCCTGCAGTCTATGAGGGTGTTCGATGACAGACAGAAGAAGGAGAATGGTACCTCAGATGAGTCCTCAAGCGAACAGGCAGCCTTTAACTGCTTTGCTCAGTCCTCGTCTCCAGCTGTCTCCACCGTAGGGACATCGAACCTCAAAGGTAGGACCTGATCGCCTCCAGTTTCTCCACTCCAGGTTTGGCGCAGCTGGGAGATTTGGGGGGGGGTGGGGGTATCCACCAGGGACCCTGCCCTTCAAAAACTCCAGATGCTTCTTCAAGTCCCCAAGCAGGAGCCACAGTTCAAAGAGGGTGGCCAGGTGTGTCCCCGTCCCTCAGGTGTATAAAGGAGAACTCCGAACCCCCTTCCTGCAAACCTTGGTTTGGCTGAGGCCGGGGTGGCTGTTCCTTCTCGGTGGGGCCATCTTTGAAAACTTGCGCGGAGCACGTCTCTGTCTCTGTCTCTGTCTCTGTCTCTGTCTCTCTCCCTCAACTCTCTCCAAGCTAGCAGCAAGCTAGCAACTGCTGACTTTTTACTATCTTTGAGCTCTAGATTAAAATGTATTTGGCCTGAGGCGGGGG